GAAGCGCACGCTTTTGAAAGCATAACATCATGCACTGGCCGTGAAAAGATACGATCTGATATCGATGATACATAAGTTATTTTTTATCGAGTTGTAAAACAATCCAAAAACAATTCGATTTGCGGAATCATCTTGATTACGTACAAAATTCCCACTCACCTTATACTTCATTTGTTTCAAAAAAAGCAGATAGATCACTAGAGTCCATCGAATTCCGAACTGCGATAGTCAAAGAAATTAGAAATAAACGAACGTTTAAGTGGAGCTGCATGGGGACTGGTGACTGAGAACCATGCTTGTTTTTTGTGTTCGTGGATAACTTCGATGATGAAGTAGATGCACTATCACCCTCTTCTGACTGATTGTGAGGTTCAGTTCTCGATGAAGAGTCCATCTGCGAAGTGGTTACATCGGATGCTGTATCATCATCTGATGACAAATCAAAAACGTTCGACTGCGTCGCCTTTTTACCATCGCTGCAATAGCAATGGTAAAATAATGACAGATGAACATGTGACCCCGTGATTATGAGTATCTATCTCATAGAGGTAGATACTTCTTCAATTCTGAATTCTTCGATGATAGTTCCCCAGTCACGGTTATTCATTAAAACAGTTTGCAAACGTCTTAAACGTCTCTCTATAGCGATATCGCCTTGTAATGTGGGCATTACCTCTAAAATTTAACAAATAAAATGCTTCGGCATAATGCTGAAAATGATTCATCTTGCAGAAACGAGAGAATAAATCGAAAACGAACGCTTTGCATCGTTTCACGTGTTTTTTGTGTGCCCGTGCCTTGACCTGATCAATCTTTCGTTGTAATTCATCAATGGTATAATCACAGTTGAATTCTGCATTAAGTTTGTCAGCAATTCGTGTCCATTCAACTTTGCGCTGAGCATAATCTTGACGAGTTGCTGGTTTGAGAAGCCATTTCTCTTGAGCCACCTCTTGCACCAAACGAAGAGCGTAAGGCGCCTTCAGCGTACGATGGCCTTTCGAGGTGGACATCCACTGAACAAGTGATCTATCGGATCATCAACGGCAATTGTTAGATTCACCAGTATCCTTTCGCTTGTTTCAAATAAATAATGAATGACGCATGTTGCGCAACAAACCGAAATGCATTCCGCTCTAAGAACATGTCATATATGGCGGCACTCTCCCACTGAAGCACAATCGAAAAAATCCGCCTTTTTTTAAAACTGTCTGCGGGAAATTTTCAAGCGATGAAAAATGCATAAAAATATCGACGTGACTTCAAATGAAACTTCATTCTGCAGATACAGGAGTGGCGCGAATATAAATAAGCGGTCATTTCAATAAGATATTTTCGAATGAACTGTTTGAAATTTAATATTTATCCGATTCATTGTTACAAAGTGAATCACATTATGAAGCACCAAAAAATTCCCACAAAGAAACCATTTCAGAGTGAAAATCTCAAACCATGAAATAAAACTGATTGAAAGTTTAAATAAGAAACGAAGAGAAAATGATGAACAACAACCATCTTCACCCAACAAAAACAACTGAATCAACAGAATGAACAAGCACAACTTAACAAACGAGATTCTCGGTACAACAATAACTGGATGGATGCAGAATGTTTCTTGAATACCACAACTCACAGCAACTGAAAATACTCGTAAGAGAAAAAAGCCAATGCAATGCTTCAATAACTGCTAATGCAAACGCCCAACGAAGAAAAACAATGAACAATGAAATAGTCATCGCTGTAAACTGCGCTAAAAGGCACGTCATACAGAATAATCTAGTGTAATATAAATGATGTTCAAACTCATTGAAATTTCGTTTTATGTTTGTCTCTGCCACACACTTGATCTGATCATGCGTTCATGCATAATGTCGCGATAATTAGAGGCAATTAATTGGTGAGTTTCAAAACTACGACAATATGACTGAAGCTATATAAGATGGAGAATTTGCGAGTGGGCATCGCAAAAGTTGACGTTGAATCTCAGCACTAAGTTTAATTCAGCTGCAATATATTCTGATAAAAAATGAATGAACAAGTGATTAATAAATAGAAAGATCAACCACATTCACTCACCTAAAGAATTTATCAAAATATAAATAACAATAGCAATAAGAGCAACAAAAATGGAAACTAGGATGAGGTAATTCTTAGTGAATAATGGCTGATTTGTGGAACTAATGAAATGATTCAGTGAACGGTTCAATGATGATGATGATGTGGAACGGTGACTGGACGCCGACGAACTCGAACGATGCGCTCGACGAGGTCCCTCTTCACTCCTACCAATCTCTGCCAGATCTGTATCTTCTAGATGTCTTTCCAAATCATCTTCTATTTCCTCTGAAATTGTTCATTAAAGACAAACCGTTTGCCACGTGCGATTATAACTGCCGCACAAAAATACAAAATGAAACCGTTCGCATCAGTGAAGTGTTTGAATAAAAGACAGTTCTGACGTTCACAAACACATTCAAATTTTTTTTTAATGGCTAAAATAAAACAGATTAATGTGCCGTCTGGAAAATGGATGGGACATAAACTAAATATGATTCTGAATAGGACATGAACTGCTCATGAAGATAGTATGTTACCTTCGTTAACGTCGAGGGTGAGGTAATCGTTGAATGACTCATGCGCATCGAATTTCGAATCTCCTTCGAAAAGGAAATCGCTGAAGACGATTGCAGGTTGCGATGGTAGTGGGGTCGAAGCAATTCGAGGTAACTGATGAACTGATAGACGATCCTTTTGCTCGTCCTCCACAACGTCCGTGCTCTCATAGTGTAACTCTTCAATTCCATTCTTCATCAAAAATTATGCAGCAAAAAACAAACAAACTATGGAAGGGTGAGAATATGATTTTTTTGAATGTTTTATATGCAAAATGGGAAAATGAAGTGTTGTTCGCAAATGAATATGCAGCCATAAAATATAATACAATAATACTGTTATCACCACTGAAAACGAACCAGCTCGGCTGCATATCGATCTAATAACATGTTCTTTAACGGCATCTACTGCTTGCCGTACAGTTGCTTTCGACGGAACTGCTGCTCGAACATTGATGTCCGCACTCAGTTCAACTATGCACAACGAGCAATATTGTGCTATACCGTGATAACAGTCTTTATCTTTCCTCGTTCCTTGAACCCTTTCATCAATCAGCTTTCGAAATTAATTATACGTGATTGTTATTAGCACTACCAATGTTATTATAATAGTTCGAGGATTATTCATGAATTCAAGTAGATTCGTCGAATTCAATTCTGATAACGAATCATTTGCGATTATTATTCACTCAAACACAAGATCGATATCACCAAACAAAACAGATTGTACGATAGTAATTTGAATGAAATTTCGTGGAATGAAAAAAAAACATTCTGCAATTATTCATTTTCAAATAACAACGATACCTATTGATGCAAAAGTTTCAATCCTGACTGGACTATTCGATGCACGACCTTTTTTATTGGTACCAGTTCGTAGAGGATCATCGCCATGTCTTAAACGACCATCCACCAGTGCTATATCGGTAAAAAGATACTGAAAAAGGGAATCAATGAGCAACAGACAAATACTGCATCATCAGCGAAATCATGCTCGTCTTAAGTTTACGAGAAGTTCTTTGAGTTTAGAGGCATTATTAAAGGTGCTAAAGACTAAAATTACACAGCGACCATTTCTTTATCACGACAGATCTGAATCAGTTGTAGTACCTTTCTGAATAAGTCGCACTGCAAAGACAGATTTCATATCAGAAAAGAGTGCAACGAAAACGAAAGAATTTATTTCATGAAGGTGATAAGCAGGAGAGCAGTAACCGACATCTTGTGTCCATTCACAGATTGCTGCGACAAACTGACGCTTGAAATTGGAAAGCATCGTTGGATCATTTATTGGTACTGTCATATTGACGCTTGCTGATGATTCGAGTGAGATCCAATCTAGCTTAAAATTCCACATATACGCCCAGATCATAATTACTACAAAGACTTATGCAACTTATTCTTATCTCATTCTTCATGACAACACACTAAAAACCTTGGCTAACCGTTAGGTTATGATGTCAAATAATTAATCACTAAGTTCAGAATTCAGAATTATGTGTACCTGAGTGAATGCAACTTTGGTCTGCCATCCTTCAGCACCTTTACGAGTACAATCCACGATATAACCCTGCGGTCTACCCAAAGGTGTCTCTACTGTTATCAGAGCCTTGAAAATATTTCATCATTTTTTCCATATATCAACCTTGAGATTTTTCGTTCATTTCAGATGCAATAGAATTCACGTGGTTTGGATGGAAGCTGAGCAACCGGGAGGAGAAAAGCTTAAATTTATTCAGGATAATCCGCCATTGCTGATAGGTAATGCTCAATATGCTGAAACAATTCAAGAACTGAACTAACCATTTTCGGATCAGAAGTTCGTAATGCAAGAGAGCTTAATGCATCCGACTGCTTGTTGATAGAAGCCAGAGCTTCGATGAGCATTGTTCTTGCTGGAAGCGCTAACCTTTTGTCGGCCAGCCACAGTAATCCTTGCAATGAATAGACAAGCTCAACAAACGATTGCTTAGAAAAACATTCGACTGTTGTGTTCAAAATCATACAGACATTGTGCACTTTTCAACGCAAATCCACCTAATTCTAAACTGCTAAAAATTCATCAGAAGCTATGCGTTGAACAGACTAGCCGTGCTGCATCTGATGTGAGTTCGCAAAAGGAATACACGACAACAGATTGTTCAAGCAGATGCACGTTTTTGTATAGAAATACAGTTAGATTAGTGAAAGCATGGGTGCTGAACAATGAACGATGTGACATTTTCTGATCGCAAAAAGGCGTATTATTTAAGACAGCTGAGTGCCTATCGTGAATGAATAAATATGCTCCGAGTAAGTTGCTACTGTCGACTAAAAAACAACACAGTTATATTCATTAAAAATAACAAAATATGTATCAACTTGACATCAGCTCTCCAAACGATCACAAAAAGATTCTTAACATACCGACAATAGAAATACCCCCGGGCAATAAGCGTACAACTCTTGATCCGTGTTCGCTGATCCATTCTGCATCTATCAAACGCGACTGCATATCTCCAGCCTGAATAACTGACCAGTGAATTACAAATTCAATCATTCGTTACTCGAACAGCCCGAACGTATGCACTACGACGCAGTGGTTTGCCAACTGATCACGCAATAAGAACATTAATAATATGATAACAGTATCAATAAGAACTCAACCTCATCATCAGCAGTCTCAGGCAATGGACAAAGAGCAATATGCGCCACATGAATATCATCAGTATTCGCCAGCTTCGATCCAATCAGATACGCTGCAGTACCAAGCAAGCCAATACGTCGTTGTTGTGCGCAGTGTTGTTTCACGTAAGCATCTAGCAGCGTTTCCAAACACTTGTCTAAAGCTATCATCTCGACACTCGAATACTATCTGAAATGATTATAGCTGGAACATACGTATGAATCACCAACGATAACGATTAATTCCGACAAATAAACAATACGAGAAATATCGCTGATCCGAAAGTTTTTGCATAGGTTCACGGAATGGAATGACGAGTTTTGGTGACATCAGTACAACCTCATGGTTCACAAACAAGCACCTTCCTCGTGCACGCAACCACTTTGCAAAAGTAAAACAAAGAACACAAAGAGGATTGTGACGGTTCATCCTCGGTTAAACTGGATGAATTCAGGATATTGAGTCGCCGACTTTTGTATGCCAACTCAAACTTGCCTTGGCTACAACTACGGAGCAAATATTGCTTAAGGAATGTTTGTGCGTCATCTATCAATTGCATTCTAAGCAAAAAAANGGATATGACGAGTTTCTCACGGAGAAGTTTTGAACTCGTAAAGCCAGATGACATAATCTTTATCCATGGCTGGCAACAACTGCATCGAGTTGTGGCAAGTTGTTTCGCAGACGATTTCAGTTAGGAAACTGTAAATGCAAAACACTTTGCTGGGTATACATACATACACTTCGCCAAGTACGAACGGAGTGACAGTTCACCAAGTGACGGAAGTGAGATTTTCATTTGGTATATGTTCAGAAATGTAAATTTCTTACCTATTCAACGGCAATAAATCCGGGCAAGTCATATATCGTTTTGTAGTGCAGATCCAGAAGGACAAAACGCAACTGATAGATTTGCCAGTGATCGACGTATGTTCGAGATTTTGATTTCGCGTTAAGGGCAAAAATGCAACAGATACTTTCAATTGGTACCCACCCGACAGGAAAAATTTTAAATCATTATATAAACAAAGTTGTAGCCGAGATTGAGTACAAAAGAAATCTTTTTTGGATTTTTTCGCCAATTCATTTATTTTATGAGGCTCGGCGTGAGCAATGGTGATGTTCACTAGTACTCTCAGTGACTATAAACCGACTGATATTCTTCATTTATAATAACAGTGTACACTTTAAAAAAATAATATAAACATAAAATTGAATTCACAGTAAAATTTATGATGATGAAATCAAAAAATCGCATGGTGTGATAAAATAGTGGAATGTAAATATTTGATACTGAAATACAAACGACAAAATACTGAATTCAAATAAGAACTGTTTCGACCCCCCACCTTCCCCCTCCCATGTGCTTATCTTTATATTCGCAAAAGAGACATTTACAATAGATAAAAAGATTTCTGTAGTACTCAGTTTTTCCTGTTGATTCCAGCGTTGAAAATAGCGAAACAGATTTTACTTGAATTCAGCAGTTTGTTTGTCGCTTATATTTGATTATCAAATCATTGCATTCCACTGTTTTATCATACCGTGCGATTTTTTGATTTCATTTATTTTTTTCAATTGGATGTTTCCTTTTCTGTTCATTTCTGGAAGAATATTATTGTTGAAAATCTAACAAAGATTTCTGTAGTACTCAATCTCGGCTACAATATGGTATATATCATGATTTAAAAATTTTCCTGTCGGGTGGGTACCAATTGAAAGTATCTGTTGCATTTTTGCCCTTAACGCGAAATCGAAAATCTCGAACAAATGTCGATCACCGGCAAATCTATGTTTTGTTCTTCTGGATCTGCGCTACAAAATGATATATGATTTGCCCGGATTGATTTTTGAAGGTTTGTGCGCACTTTGCACCTATCAATATTTGGGATAAGGTGATGGATGGTTTGACAACAACGGTGTGTGAACCATAGAAATTCCGTTGGTTGGAAAATTTGAATCGAGAGGTAATACTCATTTAGTGGCTGAATATGGTTGAGATTGGGTTCTTCGAAGCGTATATTTTCACCAGTCAAACAGCAATTTTTCTATCTCTCAGCGGAACGTACCCAAAGGAAGTGCATGTATTTGTTGAACAAAATGACAGAATTGAGGGTTATTTTTATTACATCAAAATGAGAGTATAATTCAACGTGTTTCATCAGACAGAGAGCAAATTAATTCACATTATAACACTTCTGCTATTTAGAGGCTATACCGAGCGCAGACAAAGGGGCTACTGCTTAGGTTGAAGCTGAACTCATATCCAGGCCGCGGCTGAACCTTACGTAGGACTGAGACTATCCATGAAGTCGAAACCTTTATTCCAGTCACTTGGGGAGCGTGTCTGCGCGCAGTGCAGCCCTAATCAGCAGAAGTGTTGAAATTTTATAGTATTAGGAGCATTTTCAGTGGAAACGGAAAATCAATGATAAATGCAAATAAATAAATTAATAACTGAAGAAATAAGACGAATATCGACAATGATAATACAAGTAAATCATTTTATACAAAATACTTAAATGTTGTAAACACCCGCGTGGGAGAACTATACAATAATATGAAGTTGAATTCAGGAACATAAGTAAAGACATGATGCAATAAGCAGGATTGAGAAGCTGACAAATGTGAATCATTGATTTCCAATCTGAAATCAACTGATATCGTCATTTCGCCCCACATTTTCGCATAGCTCTGCAAAGCATTCAGCTATTTCTCTCCAACAAGAAGTAACTATTCGGGCGTGCATGATCACAATGAAATGATGAAGAGGAACATAGACTTTTCAGAACAGAAAAATCACATAAGGCAGTAATTCAGCTGAGATATTCAATCAAACAATCACACTGGAGGGAGAAGGATGCTTTTGCTATCGAATTTCTTATTTATTCATCAACAGCAATCTTTCCGCATCTATAACAAACAACGATTTTTGTGAATGTAACCGAACCGGTCCATAGCGCTCGGCATATTAAACATTCCACAACCAAGCATAACGAATGACCGTTGCCATAAATACTTACGATTAGCATAATTGAGCGCAGCCGGATACAATTGCGATAAATTATCACAGCAACGATGAACTTTTTGCCGATCGTTCTGAGCGATTGCTATCCAACCTTTCAGTATCCAAATAACAAGTCCGAATCCCCTCGTCAACAGTAACAGATGAAATTCAATGGAACGAAAATAATTTTAGCTGATAAGTCATTTTCCTCCCAAACCAGTATGTTAATATAATATAGACACGAGTACAGAGATGTGTGTTGAAAGTGTTGAAAGCAGTGTTGAAAGCAGCGTGCAAAAGGTTTATAATTTCGCATTAGAATTATGATAATTTGAATCTATATGAAGGGTCTTGTTGCATATTATCAATTAAATTCTTTTAAGGTCATTGACCTGCGCGATTTCATTTTCGTTATGACTTTAGCTCAGCAACTTATCGATATCTTCACATGTTTTTCAAGGGTGGTTCAATACGCTGAATTTATTTGAGGAAGGCAGAATGGCAAGTAGCATGACAAAAGGCACGTTCATGCACATGCTTACGTAGGGAATCCCCTCCATGCAAAAAAGCAGTGTGAAGCTGCAATCGACATGACCCTCTTCTGATTCAGACATCGATTTTTCATGAATCTCGAAAGCACTTGTTGAGTTTCGCTCTTTTTTTATGCATAGAGTTCAGTGATGAGAGATTCGACGCCATAGTGGTAAATAGATACAAATTCAAAGAATTTCGCGTATTGCCCGGCGAAGCGAATTGTTCCACGCAGCAACAATATTTCAAGTGATTATTGCATCACAATGGAATGACTGATAACATAAATTGCCTTCTGAAGAATGTACGAAATAACAGAGATTGCGTAACTCAACGAAAGGTAGTCATAAGAGTGTCATTTCGTGAAACTTCGCTCTAAACAATCTTCCATTCGATATTTGGTGCAAAAAAGAACAAAGAAAAAATAAGCAAGTGCACATACATATCACATTATCTTTCCATGCTGAGTACTTCGAATGTTTCCATGTGATATCTCAGTTCGAAATGAATCTTCTCAAATGAATAACTAGATGTATATGCAGAAACATTCAAAAACTTCACAAACACAACAGCAACTAGCAGGCATTTATATAGATATAACCGAACCGTAGCACATTCGATTGGAAAACAGCGAACATGGCTATTATTAGTTGAGGACATATTGAAATGTTAACACAATCGGTACAGCAACAGAGCTGCCGATGTTACTACTAAGTTGATAATTATTCCCCTAAAGAAATGGACGAGTAGCTGCCTCTTCGAACAAACGCACAGCGATCAAAACTAGCAAAACCGTATGCGACAAGCCTCTCGTTCATATTCATTGCCAGCACACACTCCTGAACCATAACATTTCCGAACTCGTTTGCGTATTCCGTTCCCGCATGTCTCTGAGCACGTCGACCAATAACCCCAACCTAAAATTTTCATTCAACACTCATGCTAAATGCTTGCAAGCACAGCAATCATTATTAATGAGGAGACAATCTTTTACGGCATATCAACGACTCTTTTAGCCATCGAGAATGGGTGTTGCTGAAACGCAGTTGATTGCCGTGTTGTCGTAAATGATATTCAGACGTTAGTTCCATTGATTTTATCTAGCAGATAAAGTTATTCGAGAGTTGTTCTCTGATCATAACCATTGAGTTATCAATAAAGCTGATGTTAACTGATCAATCGAAGTTATTTTATAGAATAATGAAACTGAATGATAGCCATGCCAAACACACGCATACAAACAATCGGATATATGCATCCCATCAGATGTTGTTGTGTAAAACCTCTCACCAGATTACGAAGCAAACAAGTCCAAATGCACTCACAACATATGCACCTCAACCGATACAGCAGCATTCGAATGTTATGCTTTATGTTCTATCACCAGTCACATCACTGAATGCCCACTGCAAACACGAGCTCATGCCATGTCCTTTTCAGCCGGATTATTTATCAGGCACTCGTTAGGTGATTATTTCATGTCACAATACCATTGTGCTCGTGAAAAAGACGCCAACAAAACTACTGCGCCTGAACAAATGCTGAGAAGAAAAATCCGATTCAAACTTAAAAAATAACACGATGAAGCGACAGATCAGTGGTTCTTATAGAAGGAAGTAACTTGCCTTACGGAGGGGGGGGGGAGGAGTGGCAAGGAAATTTGTAAGCTTCATAGCTGTTCAGTGATGCTTCCAAAATGTTTGTTTGATTGCAAAAAAGTGATTTCTGTGATACCACCAAATCTTGACGGCAAACATTTTGATCAATGATCAATTTTCTGATCGGATTCTCTTCTGATTTGCCACGGAGCCTTAATGCAGTGCCATGAGAGACGATGAGGCGGGGTGCTATGGGCATGCAGACTGACTGAGGGAGGAATGACGGTCAGCCATACGAGAAAGGGGGTACGGAGTACAAGAGCCCACGATAAACGATTGACGTTTATGACCACTTCTCATAGCAAACGGATGGTGCAATTCAGCAGATGACAGAAATTGGCATTCTAATCAGTAAACTAGACCAAATAAATCAGTGTTCTTGCTTGGCAGATGCTACGATAACAGTCTTCGATGTAATTTCAGTGGATACAGAATCGGTTTCGTTTGTTCTAGCACTAATGGCATTTGTGAGTGCAGTTTCAGCTTGTTTCACGAACGATTCTAATATAACCGGATCTATCTCATGCTGACTTGATAATGTACCATTAGCGAACATCCAAAATCTACGAATTTTTTTCTTGGGAGGTTGAAATTGATTTTCATTGTTCACTGGAATAGGTTTCGTAGCAAGAGTTATTGTGGATGAACTATCGATAAGATCTGGTTTTAATGTAGGAGTTGAAAAGGTCGTTAATTGTGTTGTTATATCAGTGAGATTGTCCTCGAAAAGAGTGTAGTTGTGTAATACGGTTGTGTGTTGAGACATTGTTGTAGTTTCAGTGAGGTTCACGGTAAATGCGGGAGGATGAATTGATGGGTGCGTTGATGTTTCGGTTGTACTCTCTGCTGCAGTAACTGGCGTTGTTTCTTGGTTGTACGGTACTGAGGACTTGTCAATGAGGGTAAGTTTGTCATCACTGGAATTTTGCTGCTTACCTCCCCAAGTAGCGTCAGTTTCACCACACGGCCCTTGATTGCATGTCGCAGAATCTTTGTGTGATCCATCGCAATTCCCATACTGACAATGACGTGTACGTCGTCTGATACCGCTACCACACGATACACTGCATGATCCCCAACCTGACCAGCCTGACCACTGCCCGCTTGTGGATATACATGGCTGTTCGTTACAGAACTGCTGTTCAATACGTCCACCGAAACAATTCTTATCTGGGCATTTCCTGAATAAAAGAACCAAATGAAATATCAACAAGTTTCATTGTGTTTCTGGTGAGCATGATTATCACGATCGGTTCGCTTGAAAGAAGCGATGCTTAAAAGGATTCAATCTGAAATGTAAATCATTTTCATCTTTCGCAGATGCACATAACCGTGCAGATTCTTTTATTGTGCTAATGAAACGTGAAATTTAGCTAATGAGGAATGACTGGAGTTGAACTTCACCTTGTTCTCGAGCGGAGGCCTCGCCCACATAACTTGGAGCACTCTGACCACGATTCCCATTGCGACCAATGCGAAGGCGTAGCACATTCACCGAGATTACAGGACATTCGAGATTGTGCCGACCCGTCGCATGGCTCCTGCAAGCATATGGATGCTCTGTCAGCGAACGATGTTATGGGATGAGAAGTAATTCGTGGCATGAACATACTGGAATTGATGCTTGCGACTGGCAATGCAGTGTCGATTAGCATTGCTCTCTGGCGATCTTCGTCAAAAATTTTCTGATATTTTCCCTTTTGTCGAATGAAACTTCGGAAGCGAAATCATTTGGACGAATTTCATGAATTGAAATGTTGAGTATTTCGAGTGGTGCATTGATTCGGGTTTGGTTATACACAATTGAGGGCAATTAGGATTTGGTGGGTTATTGTTCAATAATCCTTTAATTGACGTTCGAATAAAACCATCCACATTCCTAATGAATCCAACTGAGCACAATTAAGTAGGCGTGCGAAAGAATTAGGAATCAATCGAATATTAATCAAAAATTCACAAATTCCATAATGTTCAACCCATCCGACTGACCAAATGCATCAATTTCGAACACAACACTCTAAATTCATCCAGCAATTTAATAACATTTTTGCAAAATAAGTTTCGTACAAACCTTCGTACAAAAACGATTCCTTGTTTGAATTCCAGGTCCACACGATGTTGAGCAGATAGTCCATTCGGTCCAGTGACCCCATAGTCCAACAGTGCCTAAGTTGCATGAACCCATATCACACGGACGAATTTCCATTGAATTGCCTGCATAATGACGTAGGTGACATGACCGCAAAGAAGTCATTTTGCTCAGGAGTATGTTATAAATAAACATGACACAACCCTTCATCAAAATCTGACTTCGCAACAACGGCGAAGCTGTTTTTTTCCGTAGTAAATCAGCGCTTTGAAATGAATATGTGAATTTCTTAACTTCCTTTAGGCCAGTTTTTACTGCCTCAACCTATTGAAAACTATAATGAAGCAAATCATTATTTTGAAGAACTATCATATAATAGCAAGAGTACAAATAAAGATTGAAATGAAAAGTGGAATAAAGACTGAAATGGTTGAGTGGGAAATGAACCTGGGCAGGAAGTGCCTAGTGAGGTGTGTGATGATGAAATGCATCTACGATAGCGAGCCTGTGAGCCTTTATCACATGTCACTGAGCACTGATTCCATGACGTCCATTCACTCCATGAATCGTCTGAGTTGCTCGACGGGGTTGGGCATGGCGATGAGAAACATACTGTGCGTTCAGTTGAGTCACCGTCGCAATGTCCATTCAAGCACCAACGAGTGCTGAAAACGTGCAACACTGCTCATACGCTCGTCATCAAACGCTCGGATTGCACTTACAATTCAGTTTCAAAGACGAACAGAAAGACACCACCTCAAAAAAACATAGCCCTCGTTTTTTGCATCTGATTTATTCAGATGACTGTGAAATTCGCACGTTCAATTCNCGCTCGTCATCAAACGCTCGGATTGCACTTACAATTCAGTTTCAAAGACGAACAGAAAGACACCACCTCACAAAAACATAGCCCTCGTTTTTTTGCATCTGATTTATTCAGATGACTGTGAAATTCGCACCTTCAATTCGGTCTATCCAATATTCTTTCGAAATCGATCCATGTATCCTTTACGAACTAATTGAGAAACTTTTGAACGTATTGATGTGGTTGTTATGTTGGAATGTTGAAAATTGCCAGTTTATTCGCATGCATACAGCATGGTGATCAGAGATAAGTCAAAAACGAAGGGATTTTTGAAAGCGATCTTTTTCATGTTGATATCGTGTTTGTGCACAAACAAGCGCACCACCACCAATCACTCTCACATATCAGTTGTTTCACGAAGAAATCTTTGATGGCAGTTTCAGCGGATAACCAAAACTTGTTTCTTGTCATACCCACAGAAAGTTTGTTGCTATTGAAACAGTTTGATAATTTCATATTTTCACGATAAAAAACACTTCACTCAATGGAAACGTTATTTATCAATTTCAAAAGGGACCCCGCTGAGGGAATCGAGTTAAAGTGAAAGCGAACTTCATGCAAATTAGGTACGGAATGCCTGAAATGAAGGAGGATCTCGTCTGTTTGAAGTGAAGCAGCCTTGTGAACATTTAATACCTCGGAAATGTTGACAACTCAACGCATGAATTTATCGAAGTTTGCATTATTCAGATCAATTTTATCGACCAGTTCTAGTTGATGTTATCGGAACCGATATTTTGAAGATAACTGCGTAAGAACGTGTTTGTCTCGTTTATGATCTACAACTACTACGTTCTAAGAAAAATTTTTGCTCATGGAAATACTCATAAGAAGGGCGATATTACTCACTGATTGCTACATGACTGCTTTTTTCGAATCAAAAGAATAATTACGAACGATGATATCTAAATTCCAATTATAGTGATCACTTGCTATGAATTATGTTGGAAAATAAAACAAACGAGTAATCAGTTAATCGCTCGTGCTAATATGTGGTCTAAAATTTTTGGTGATTATTGATGCATGTTCAGCGTGTTTTTTAGTCAGATCAAGTTCCAATATAATGACTTATTTACATTATATGCGCTGATTATTGCATACGTACAATTGTACTGATTTATAAATTTAATAATTTGAAATGAAGTTAAAGGCTGAGCAGGAGACTGGGAAATAACAATATCAATTAAAATGAATAATGCTCAAAAAACAAGCAATAAGTTGAAATATGCCTACCGTTCCCGAAAACCATTGCCGCAAGATTGTGAACAGAATGTCCACGATGACCAATCGGTCCATCTGCCTGTTGCATTTGTGAAGGTTACGGAATTTGAAGAACATCGTTCTGACGGGCATGCTACATCCCTTGTCACCAGTGCATTTTCATTGCATGACAGCACCTTTAACTTCGTTTATCACAACCATTATATAAGCAATTATAATAATCGAAAATCATCTGTTGTTGCTATCGTAGTCTCAAAATAGCACAAGCAAAAGTCTCAACATCCGAGCATTCGGATGTCACTCGCTTCATTCTTCTCAACACTCGAAAATCTCGATATAAATCATGAGAAATTTAAAGCAACTTACAAGACATTCGCCCTCTAAGCAATATCTGCCATTACCACATGGTGCTCCATTGGGTAAATTATCACCGAAGAAACGATAATTTCTCTGTGATCCATATGTGCTACTCACGTCACAAAATACCTAGAGCATATAAATAATACAAAGTATGCTTGCAAGCGAATTGAACCAATAAAATACCTCAAAGAGGTCTTAAAATATTCGCGAATCATAGCCACTATCTTTGAAAAAAAANAAAAAAAACATTACAATTTTCACCAAAGAGAGGAATTATTTAACGTTTGCATGATGCTCAACGTATAAGTTCTTTGAATTTCCTGATAAAATAGAAGGATGAATAGAGATTAGGATGTAACAAAGCGATAATCAACCTTGCACGCCCTTTGTGGGTATCGATTCAGCTGACTCCCCGTTCCTGTCAGCTCGTGATCATTCTTCAGTCGTTTATGTTCTGTACACTTTTCACCGATATACTGAAAATTTAAACTTGAATCGCATTGCTTCGAATGCGCTGCAGGAAGGAGTCATTGTCCGCATCACTGTCTCGAATCCACCTTATTTTAATGATTTCTGTTTTCAGCGACAGCCCACTTTAAATAAGTCCCCTTTTGATGAGCAATTAGAAATACCTCATCGACTGTTTTCAGTGGCCTAGAACAGTGTTGATTACAAACGATTGCTCTTGAAGTAGCACCGACACACTCAAGACCTCCATTGGAAGGATAAGGATTTGAGCATGTTCTCTTTTGAATTGTTAATCCAATGGCACCAGCCAGTGATGGACATGAACATGATGAACAGGAAACACTACTCCATAATGACCACTGACCATCCACTCTCTGAAACATCCACAAATATTTATCCGAATAACTACTTTGACGGATTCTCACTGCACAAGTTCGTGTAAGAAGTACTTGTGACCAGAAATTGTGTGGACGAATATTCAATAGTGAGCGTTATCAAATTGTGCTTTGAAAACTTGTGAACTTTGTTTGAGCAAGTCAGACCACATTACTTTGAAGTGATGACAAATCGCTTGAGGTTGATTTCTTCCTCTTAAGCATTCACACCAAATATAAGAATTTTTGATGAGCACGAAAGTAAACGAATCGAAAAGTAAGATTTTGTGAGTAACGATGCGTTTTGGTGAGTGGCAAATGAGCAACTCGTCAGGCGCATTTGCAGATGTGTTTGCTTGGATTAAAATCCAAGCGGTAATAATCTCATATTTCTGCTGTATTAACGGAACGAACGGAATGTGCGCTCTGCTTTCATTTGAATCTGATTATACCGATTGTCAAATAGCGTTACATAGAACACGCATCTTAATGGCCTCATAACAAATATTATAGCTATTGAATTTTGGAGAGTTCTTTCTCTGCAAACATGTGACTAAAAATTATACAAAGCAGTTGAAAAGTAATTGCAACCTCTTTTCGAATGAGAGATTAATAATACCACAAACTGGTCTCGCTTAATTTGAGGAAAAAATCTCATAATCTTCATTTCTTACAAAGAACGAATACATGAAAAACTTCTGAGAATTTCAATGTTTTTTCACTTGTTGAATTTTTTTCTTATTACAACTCGTTTTCCCAACATCTTAATTGATCTTCCGTTAGCCGATTATCTCTCACCTTCATTCCCCTTTCTGGCTTTCTAACAATGCAGATGCGTTTAATTTTTAGCATTAAACTTCTGTTACCTTGAATCGGTATCTCTTTTTTCGTTGATCAAATTATTTTTTTGTTTTCATTCGCAACAATAAATTACACCATATGTTCTGTGGTTACAAGTTCATCGACTTACAAGCAATTAGTAAAAATTTTGCACGGAATGAAGCTTGCTGCTGTCAAAACGAAATATTGGTATAGTATCAGCATAATGGTCATAATCAAATCGAACTGATTCTGTTGATGAAGGAACGACGAACGCTTGAAAAATGACGAGAGAAAAGCTCTCAACTTGTTTTCAGTGAAACCTTTTTGAAATTCTGCGCTGAGTGATTTATGGTAAAAGCAATAAATATTGCATACCGTTGGTACTTGTTGGGTGGGTGATGCCTTTGAGCCAGGCCAAGGAACGCAACGACCCAACTCGCACCATTTCGATGGTGCGCAGAATGTACCCTCAAGTGCTGGATGTGAGGTGATTATTCGACCGAATGTCGTTTGTCCACACCACATCATGTAGCATATTCCATCATAATGATCTTGCCGAGGAGTGACCTGAATTACGCATTCTCTCATCGCAATTCAAGAGGCAACTTGTTTGTTTATGATTTACCAGCACTGTGCTTATTATCCTTTCACTTGTTTTGGGCAAGGTCGACAGTGAAATATTCTCGGTTTGGAAATAAGACCATAGGTGACCGCCATTAAATTGCTACTATCAAGATCGGAAATTAGTTTAGACATAAGACTGGATAGTAGATCGAGTCTCTTGCATATAGCTAGCCAATGAATGAAGTGTATTATCACTGAATGAGGTGTATTAGAGTGTTAAAATGAATGAGATTCATGCGATTATAAACAGT